CAGAAATATTTTTAGGGAATTGTCAAGGGCCAACTAGAACATGTTCATAGGATGAAACAATAGGCAAACAAAAACATATCAGAGAGACAGTTTTAAGTAGGAGACGAAGTGTACCTTAAATTGCAACCCTATCCCTGAGAAAAAAAATCTTAAGTTAGCTATAAAATATTACGATCCACACAAAGTTTTGAAAAGAATTGGAGAAGTGGCTTATCGTTTGAACTTACCAGAAACATCGCAATTACATCCAGTTTTCCACGTGAGCCTATTGAAGAAGAGAATTGGGGATTTGGTCGTTCCTTCGAATAATCCACCTATATTAGAAAAAGAAGGTCAATTTAAGAATAAGCCTATGGTGATTGTGGGAAAAAGAATAGTCAATCATCAAAACAAGTATGTTACTCAACTTTTGGTTCGATGGTCGAATTTGAATACAACTCATTACACTTGGGAGGATTTCACGGTCCTCAAAGATTAGTTTCCAAACTTCGATCTTTGGGGTCAAGGATCATTTCAAGAGGAGGGTTTTGTCACGATAAAAGAAGAGGAAGGGGAGTATGCATATATTTAATAATATAGAAAAAAAAAATGTTTTATATGGACTAATTTCATTGATTAGGATTATTAATAATATAGCAAGAGCCTAAAGAATAATTTTAGAACTTATACAAAGAATAGATGGGCGGATATATGGGTAGTTCTGTTGTACGACAATCTAATATAAGGCTAAGGAAATACACTACTGGAAATGTTAATATTTTTTTAATATTTTCGGTAGAGCGCTACCTAAAATGTTATTTTTTCTACCAGAACATGAAAATTTTCAATATTAACATTTTCGGTAGAAAAAATAACATTTTAGGTAGCTCTCGATATTAATATTTTCGATATAAAAATTAACATTTTAGGTAGCGCTCTACCGAAAATGTTAAAAAATATTAACATTTCTGGTAACGACTTTTCTTAACCTTATATTAAAGTTGTCATTCTTTAGACATTCCCTGTCTATCTTCATTTTCCGTTGAACAACAAAAAAAAAGGTGGTAGGGCGGACTATAACTTTATTATTAAGGGTAAATTATGTATTTAATCTAAACTATTAGTTTTAGTTCGTTTTAATGCCTAAACTTTGATTTTCTTAAAACTATATATAACATTTAGTTTTCATATCATTTTAGTACCACACCGTTAAAATCTTAACATGTTTACTATATAAACTATCAATTTTGGTCTGTTTTAATATCTAAACTTTCATTTTTTTCAAAACTTAAAATTACATTTTAAACTATCAATTTTTTTCCGTTTTAAATCTTTTGATTTCGCGATTAACATTTTTATGTTAGTTATATTTTAATCTCTCTAAGTTAAATCTTTTTGGTGTTTTTTTTTTGTTAAACTCTAAGTTAAATCTTTAACAGAAATATTTTTCTTTCTAATTGGTATAAAAATACAATTAACTCTAAATGTTACACATTCTATCGATTTAATTATAATTTTAAAAAAAATTATGAAAATAATTTTAGAATATGTTTGTATATAATTATATATCAGATTAATTAAATATTAAAGTCATAGATTACAATCAAATAAATTAAATACGATAATATAACATATGTTACACTATTAATACATTAAATAATATCATTACCATAAAAAATTATATTCTATGATTCATTTCAAATGTTCGATTAAAATTATTTATATATTTTGTATAACATTCATTAGTAATCAGCTTTCTCAATTTGTAAATATCTCAAATTCTTTAATATAAAAAATCAAATTTATAACGAACTTTGATGGAGTTACTAACTTTTAACATTTTAAATGTGGATTAATTGGACGGGTTCAAATATAGCGTGCTAATTAGATAAGTTACAATTCAATTCAAAACGAAATTAAATTTTTTTAATTACCGATATATTAACCGATTAATTTAAATTAAGTTTTGTAGAGATTCATTATAGAGGCGACTTTCCAACCAAATTTGCTCCATATATCAATATTCTAATCTTTAATTTTACTTAAAAAATTTAGTGTATTATCTCATAGACTAATTGATTATTGATAAAACGAAATTAAACTTTAATTATTAAAAAAAGGAATTCTAATGAAATAAAATTGATAAATTAGATGCGTGGAGAAATCTTTGAAGTATGTAGTAATGCGTGTCCTAATAAAATAAGTTACTTTAAGACTTAATGTCAAATTGTCCAATCATCCACGTGTTTATCGGGTCGTACACGGCAGCAGGCTTAAATTTTCAAGTAGTAACTAAGATTCCAAGGATTTTTTTTTACTTTTATTTTTAACTTTTCCTCTTATATTTAGGCCCAATTTAACGGGATATCTTAAATACAATAATATTAATATACGACTAAAGAAATAAATTATCAAAAATATTATTATTTTTTAATATTTTCGATGAAATTTTATCTAAAATATTATTTTTTTCTATCGAAAATGTTAATATTGGACCCTACCTAAAATGTTTAACATTTTTTATAAAACGCTAACTAAAACATTATTTTTCTACCGAAAATGTTAATATTGGATTCTACCGAAAATTAGTTAGCGAAAACAACATTTTCGGTAAAAAAATAATGTTTTAGGTAGCGTTTTACTGAAAATATTAAAAAAATAATAACATTTCTAGTATGACATTTCTTTAACCGTATATTAAAACTGTCGTACAGTAAAATTACTCCAATTTGACACAGTTAGTGATTTTTAAACATATTGTAGAAATGAATTTTTAATAATGTTATAAAAAATGAAATTTAAAATTTAAATGTTTGATTTTATAGTTAAAAAGTGAGTTTAAAAAAATTCATTATAAATATTCTATTATAAATTAAAAATATAACATTTAAATTATATTTACATTTATTAATACTATGATATATCAAGTTAAATTATAAAAAATTATAAAAATATTTTAAGATAACTCGTTAATAATATTTTTATATATGTAATATTTTATTAAAAAAAATATTATCAATGCTTTTTAACATGTTGATATAAAATTATTATGAAATAATAATTGTTTTGGCTAAAAATATTAAAAAAATTAGTAATTAAAATAAATTATTAAGTAATAAATTATTTTTAAGGATGTTAGTATTATATTATTAAAATCAAATGTAAATACATAATTGAGTGGAGTCAATACATTAGTAAGGATAAAATTATAATTTGCTCCCAAACGTAAAGTTGAGACTGAAAAAACTAGAAATTCTAACTTTTGCGGTTGGTTTAAAATCACCGTCCCCACTGTATTTTTTTCATTTTTTAATAGTTTGACATTGTTTTTTCACTCGAAACAAATTTTTACCTAAAAGTGCTTTGAGAAAGCCACAACATTTGATTAAGGGAAGTATGAGACCCTATTTCAGTGATAGAGCAGTTTAACCTTAAGTAGGTAGCACTTGTTTAAGATCATGCATGTACCTACTGCTTATAGTTCTATGTCTTTAGCAAGCTTATGTTTATGAGACTCATAATTCTTCTCTAGATTAACGATTATACTGCTAGGCTTTGTGAGCTCAACATTTGAATGTTTATGTTCGTAGGTTTTTAGCTTGGGTCGTTCGTGGAGCACCGTTGCATCAGAACTTCCAACATCTTCCTAAGAGTATTGTACTATAGCTTTAGTGGACATATGTATTCATAGAACCTTACTCATGTATTTGATTTATCGAATTCTAAGTTTGTATTATTTTCTTTTAAACAATATGTCACACAGCTCCGATTTATAAAAGTTTTTTATAACTATTATTTACGTCTATTATGGTATCATTTATTATGTTTTGAAAAGAAATGAATGGATTTTGAAAATTAGGGTTGTATCGGCAGCCTAATATGATAGTTTAGGCCCAATCGAATTTAGTGTATTACAACTTGGCCTAACGATTTTATTAACAATGTATATTATTAGTATATTCGTATAGTTTGGGATGAAATTGGAATGTTAAAAAAGTTTATGGACTAATTTAAAAATAGGCTCACGGTTTGGGACGAAATTGAAATGTTCAAAATTTTGAGGACTAATTTAGAATGATAGTCATAGTTTAAGGATAAATTTGGATAATTTAAAAGGTTAAGGACCAATTTAAAATGAAAATCATACTTTGAAGATATATGATACAATTAATTCTTTTTTGAATAGTTTGAAGTTCATTGATAATCCATTCTACATACGCAACTAATTGAACCTAAATTCTCTAAATAATAATAATATTTTATTTTAATATCGAGGACACTCGATAAATTTAAGCCATGATTTTTTTCTCTCTATGCAATACTTAACATAATTTTTCATATTTTTAAACTAGAAGTTACATTACGTATGTTGAAATAGTAATAATACTAATTGAATTAAAATTTAATTGATAAATAATACAGATTTAAAGATACATAAAATTTCAATTTTCTCCTGCTTGAAAATTTAAGAATTATGGATAATTTAATATTTTTAATAAATTTGATATAAATACAAGAAAATATTTACTCAAAAAAATTTAATTATATGATAATGAACGTTCAAAACCTTGAATATACGATACTCGAACCCAAAACCTCAAGGGATAACATTAAATTTGTAAGTATTTAGATCGCTTGATTCGTACTAGATATTTTAATTTTTAAAACAATCAATTTAGAAAAGTAAAATATATTTGGATAGATATGAACCAACTTTTGCATGGTTTTACGCACATGGTCTGATAGATTCTGCGGACAATTCAACGACACAAAATAATTACCAAGAATCCGTACGCATTACGCAGTAATTAAGGTCGTTGTTTATTTCTTTGACCCGGTAACTGAAGGTCGTTGTTTAAGATTAGGTATTTGATTTGATTTTCTGAGACTTTTTGTTTAATAATCAATAAAGGTATTTGTGCTATAAATTGCTGAATTCGTGACCCTAAACTCACAAAAATAATCAGGGGGCGAACTGAAGAACACTTAAGACAGCAGATTTCTAAATTTTAGAGAGAGATATGAGTTTACCGAAGCTACGTATCGTGCCATGGTTGCTTGGAATTTTCTGTCTTTTTAGCCTTTGCATGGCGGATGTACATCACTATGATTTCTTTGTAAGTACTAAATTTAAGTTTTCATTTGCTTCATTTCAATATATATTAAACTTAGCTACATAGACGATCATTTATGTTTGTGTTTTGTCCACTTTTAGTCACTGAATTCAAAATACATAAGATACAGTTGTTCTTATTTAATTAAGATACAATCACTTTTGTTTTTATTTATTTAAGATGTGATCACCATAGTTAACTTCAATTAAATAGTAAGCATATTAAGTTACGTGATATTTTGGTATAATCACACATTTGGTCCTTATTACTTACATATTCTCTCAATTTAGTCATACTTTTATTAAATTGAAATAAATTTAATCATCCAATAGAATGACGTCACGTGTCACTGGTGTCATGTGTTGTGCCACGTGTCATCATTCTGTTGGAGAACTAACTTTATTTTAATTTAATATATTTATTTTTCACCAATTTGCTTTGCTTTGTTAAATTAAAATGAAGTTAATCTTCCAACCGAATGATGGCACATGATACGACAGTGGCATCATATGTAAATAACATTGACCAAATGTATGATTATACTAAAATATTTAATGACAGTTAACTCGTTGTGACCACATCTTAATTAAATAAGAACGAAGGTGATCATATCTTATGTATATTTTGAAATTAATGATTAAAAGTGGATAAAACACAAACATAAGTGATCATCCGTGTAGTTAACCCTATACATTATTACGTGGATTCGATATTTATATCGTTATTATTGTAATATATATGATCGGATAGGTTCGAGAGGCGAACTTTACCAGACTGTGCAACACAAAAACAATGCTGGTCGTAAACGATAGTTATCCAGGTCCGGAGATTCGAGTTCACAGAGGAGATACCGTGTTTGTTAATGTCCACAATCAAGGATCTTATGGCTTCACCATCCACTGGTAATAATTTATTCACCTCTCTTATGTTGTCGTCTCAATTCTCGTCCCTTTAAGTAAAATTTTACTTTAATATCTATAGGCACGGCGTGAAACAACCGAGAAATCCATGGTCGGATGGTCCCGAGAACATAACGCAGTGCCCGATTGCGCCGGGAACAAACTTCACTTACGAAGTTATATTGTCCAACGAAATCGGAACACTGTGGTGGCATGCTCATAGTGATTGGACTCGAGGATCCGTCCATGGCGCCTTCGTCGTTCTACCAGCCGAACACGAAACTTATCCATTCCCCCCGCCTGATGCTGATCAGACCATCATTCTTCGTAAGTAGATACATTAGTTACGTGCATGTTCGTTACGCGGATGGAAAAAGATAACATGACATACGAATTTATGTTATTTTGTACAGAATCATGGTACAACGAAGACTTTCTACAACTTATACGGAATTCACTTTTAAATGGTCAAGCTGTGAAACCACCAAATGCTTATGCTATTAATGGGCATCTAGGAGACACGTACGGATGTAATGGTACGTATAACGTTTATGGTGCGATCGCTATACTTGTTATCTTCTAACATTATATTTGTCGCAGATACGATATTCCGAATGGAAGTTAATTACCAGGAGACGTACCTTCTTCGTATAATCAATGCCGCGATGAATGAAGAGAAGTTCTTCTCGATCGCAAATCACACCCTGATAGTGGTTGCACAAGATGCCTCTTATGTTAACAGGTTTCCGACCGACTATATAATGATAAGTCCTGGACAGACCATGGATGTTTTGGTCTGCGCCAACCAGAACATCGGACAGTATTACATGGTCATGAGGAATTTCCACGACAGCGGTGCTCCATCTAACAATAATATCACTACCGGTATTTTCCAGTACAAAAACAGTGTTGGTGGATTGAATACTAATGCTTCCTTGGTGAAGTTGCCCCTCCCGGACGATTCGAACGCCGCGAATAGCTTCCTCCGTCAGATTAGGAACACGAGGATCAGGCAGAACCCGCGGTTCAACGTGCCGAGACGCATCGACAGACGAGTCTACATCGCGATCTCTACGAACTCCATCCCCTGCACCAACCCGGAATGTATTGCTCTTACTGGTAGAAGGTTTGTCGCTGCTTTGAACAATGTCAGCTTCGATTTCCCGACCGTCGACATCCTCCAAGCGTACTACAACAGGAGCACCAATGGTGTTTTCACAACCGATTTCCCCCAACAACCACCGGAATTCTATAACTTCACCGGAGATTTGGCCGGTGTCAACCCCAATGTCACGATGGGGACGAGGGTCGTTACGCTGAACTATGGCGAAGCCGTCGAGATCGTTTTCCAAGCAACACAGTTTGGTGCAGGAGGAAGTCATCCACTTCATTTGCACGGCTTCAGTTTCTACTGGGTGGGGACTGGTTCAGGAAACTTCAATAATGTCACTGACCCGAGGTCCTACAACCTAGTCGACCCACCACTCATTAACACTGTGCATGTTCCTGCTAGAGGATGGGTTGTACTCAGGTTTTTTGCAAAGAATCCTGGTACGATTTCGAAATTAATTCAAGAAATTAAACTCTTTTACCAAAACAGTAGACTCATTTAACTGATGTAAATTATTATTTCAGGGGTCTGGTTCATGCACTGCCACTACGAGAGGCATAGTAGTTGGGGTATGGACACCGTTTTCATTGTGAAGAATGGAGCCACCACGAAAACAAGTATCCGTCCACCGCCGGCCTCCGGCATGCCGGTTTGTTCCGGAGCCTAGAAGAAGTAACATTAGTGAATAACTAGTTCGGAATGGAGCAGATTTAATTTGGAATTGTTAGTGCCAATTAGATCATTTGACATTTGAAAATGTAGCCTTATACATCATATAGTATTTGATTTCTCAACAATGTAAATCATGAAGTTTTAGGTGCATTTTTTTTATGGCTTTTATGCCATATGTTTAGTTAGTGTGTAATTGGTGAACTTCCCCTTTGTATGAAAAGTATTTATGATTATTGAAGACATTTTTTTAATGTGCAATGCTCAGAAACAGATAAAATATTATAATATTTGGAGTATATTAATACAACAACAACAAAAACCCTATTCCTATATGTAATGGGGTAAGGGGGAGATAGTGTATAAATAAAGATAAAATACAATGCATGTATAAATAAATAAATAAATACATAGTTGAACAGTCTTCATATGCGCATCTGTAATGGGAATTAATCCCTGCGTAATAATCTCTGCATATAGACAGAAATGTAAGTCTCGACTAAATTTAAAAGGAGGAAACATGAAGGGAAGGAATACACAGTAGTCAGCAATAGCAAGCTACTAGAAGGAATAAAGTCAAATGGGTTACCACATAAACTAAGGCAACACTACTCTGCTACTCTAGTTTTGGGCCTTCATAGATTCCAATGACAGAAACGTATAGAAGTAGAAGTCATAGAAATTACTACAGATGCATTAAAAAGAAGACAGAGATGTTACACCCCATGGCTGTGACCCACACTACTCGGTTACCATGGACTTAAGCCTCCATACTTTCCTGTCAGAGGTCATGTCCTCGGTAAGTGCTAAATCCTTCAAATCAGATCTCAAGCAGTCTACCCACTTCCTCCTTGGTCGTCCTCTCCTTCTGGAACCTTCGACTGTAATCGACTCTACCCTCCTGACCGCATCCGATGATTGTCGCTTAAGGGCATGCCCAAACCACCGTAGTCTTCCCTCCCTCAATTTTTCAGATACATGAACCACCCAAAGGACATCCTAATTGCAGAGTTTGGTGTCATGTCCCACAGAGTCTTACCACATGTCCAACGAAGCATTCTCATTTCTATGGCCTCCATCCTCCTTACGTGATCCTTCTTGATTGCCCAACATTTTGATCCATACATTAACGTTGGTCTTATTGCCATTTTATAAAATTTTCCCTTAAGTTTTAGTGGCACCTTCTTGTCACACAAAACTCCAGTAGCAGCCCTCCACTTTAGCCATTCCGCCTTTATACGGTGTGTAACGTCATCATCTACACCCCCATCTTTATGTATCATAGACCCTAGGTACTTGAAACATTCTTTTGAGGGGAGAACGTGTGCATCGATGCATACTTCTACATCTTCATCGTTTTGGTTCCCACTGAAATTTGAACATAAATACTCTGTCTTTTCAATATTGATCCTTAAACATTTTTCTTCCAAAGCAGTCTTCCAGATAACCAGTCTACGTTTCAGCTCATTTTTTGTTTCAACAACTAGGACAATGTCAAAAGCAAAAAGCATACACCATGGAACACTGTCTGGTGTCGCACAATAAATGTCGTCCATAATCAAGGCGAAGATGTAAGGGCTAAGTCCAACCCCTGGTGGAGTTCAATTTCCACCGGGAAAGCCTCGGTGTTGCCAACTGTAGTCCTGACGTATGTAGTAGATCTACAGTACATATCATGAATCGTCCGGATATAAACAGTTGGGGTCTGTCTCTTTTCCAAGGTCTTCCAGATCGTATCTCGGGGTACGCTATCATACGCCTTCTCAAGGTCAATGAACGCCATGTGAAGATCTTTATTCTTTTCCCTATATTTCTCCATAAGCCGTCGAAGTAGATGAATCACTTCCGTAGTAGACATGTCTGGCATAAAACCAAATTGGTTTTCCGAAACCCTAGTAACCTGTCTCAACCTAGCCTCTATCACCATTTCCCATAGCTTCATGGTATGATTGAGTAGTTTAATACCTCTGTAGTTACCATAACGTTGGAGATCTCCTTTATTCATATAGATTGGTATCACCGTAGACTCTCTCCACTCCTCTGGCATCTTGGCAATCTCTAAAATAATATTAAAGATATTGGTCAACCACTTAACTCCCTCTTCTCCTAGGGTCAACCACACAGTGATAGGAATTTGATATGGACCGATAGCTTTGTCCCTCCCCATCTCTCTAAGGGCCATTTTGACTTCCTCAATCCCAATCCTACTTGTGGGACAGTCATTGGTCATAGTATGATAGTCGGCTGACCCATCAATGTTACTATCTCTACAGGGAGAGGCATCGTTATTAAATAAGCCCAAGAAGTAACTACCCCAAACCCTCTTAATATAATGATCTTTCACTAAAAGAACACCATTGTTATCCTTAATAAACCTAATGCTACCTAGATCCTTTTTCCTATTCTCCCTGGATTTTGCAAGCCTGAAGATGTCGTTTTGTCCTTCCTTTGTGTCTAATCTCTTGTACATTTCCTCGTATGCCTTATCATTTACTTTAGCCATTGTTTTCTTTACTTCCTGCTTTGCCTCCTTGTATCTTTGTTTAGCTCTCGATCTTTCCTCGTCGTCATTGCATTGTAGTAACTTCTTGAAGCAAGTTTGCTTAGTCTTCACCTTAGTTTGGATTTCGTCGTTCCACCACCACGATTCTTTATGTTCCTTGACCTTCCCTGTTGACAACCCAAGGGTGTTTTTGCCCACCTCTCGGATTGAATTTGCCATATTTTTCCATAATATATCTGCATTATTTGAGTTTGTAGTTCCAAAACCTGTATGAGATAAAACTTTACTCCTAAAGTCATCAGCTATCGCTCCATGTAAGTTCTTCCAAAGGATCCTAGGTTTACCTAGTTTAGCCCTCCTAAGAGTGATTTGCCCGTGGCGTACACGGAACACCAAAACCAACAATCTGTGTTGTGATGCACATGCCTCTTCAGGGAACACCTTACAGTCGATGCAAGCCCATCGATCTCGATTTCGAACCATTATGTAGTCGATTTGGGTATAATGTCCCCCGCTATGGAACGTAATCAAGTTCACATCTCTCTTGTTAAAGAAGGAGTTAGTGACCACCATATCGTGTGCAGTAGCAAAATCAAGCAACATACGCCCCACCTCATTCTTACTACCAAAGCCAAAACCGCCATGAGCACCGTCATACCTGTCGATTTCACTACCTATATGGCCATTGAAGTCTCCCCCTATGAAAACTCTTTGGTACTCCGGAATACTCCTAAGTACATCATCTAATGAATCCGAGAAGCAGCGTTTTTCCCCCTCCCCTAGACCAACGTGTGGGGCGTACACTGAAAGGACATTCACCACTTTTGTTTCTATAATAACCTTAATCATCATGATCATATCCTGGTATATACAAACTTCAACTACATTTTCCTTGAGCCTAGCGGATACCAAAATACCCACCCCATTTCTAGCGTTATCTACTCTTGAATACCACAACTTGTAGGGGAAATGCCAATAACGAAAGGTTGAATTTCTTTCAAATCTCAGTGGCCCAATTTCTTCCAGGGGAAATGCCAATAACGAAAAGCTGAAGCAGAAATTTGGACTAGATTTGATATTGAATATTCACATCTTTGATATTCAATCCAAAATCTCAAGGAACAAGAGCAATTCATTTACTACCGAAATCACTTGATTAATATTATTATATAACTATCAAAAAGTACGATAACTAAATAGAAAAGTTTACACTTTCATGTTAAGCTACTTTAATATTATATATCAGTCAAAAAGTACAATAATTAAATAAAACCCCACCAACAAAGGAAAATAAACTTAAGGATAAATTACATGTTTAGTATTTAAACTATTAGTTTTGGTCAATTTTAGTATATAATCTTCATTTTTTTCATAATCATATCTAAAGTTTAGTTATTGTTTCATTTTAGTACCCGCCATTAAAAACTTTAGTTTTTCTTCATTTTACTACCCCGTTCAAAATATAACATTAAGTTTTGAAAAAAATTGAAAGTTTAGGTACTAAAATGGACCAAAACTAATAGTTTGGACACTAAACGCGTTAAGTTTTTAACGACGAAGTATTAAAATGAAATAATTTTGAAAAAAAATTAAAAGTTTAAATTGTAAAACAGACTAAAATTGATAATTTAGATATTAAATTTGTAGTTTATCCTAAACTTAAATCCTTGAAGTGTTACAAGTGTAAACCAAGTAGAGTGTAGACTCAAACAAGTCAAGCAGTAGGCCCTAAAAATGTATTATGTCCATTTTCCCTAATCCATTTTCTCCATCGAGATTATCCCCTAACGGCTCTTCATTCAATGTGTCAACTAGCCGTTACCCCGACATTTCCATTCTTAAAATCCCTCAACATTCCACTGCTTTTTACTCGATCAAAACCAACATCACTTCGATTTCAGCTCACAAGTACAACAGCTTTCAATGGCTAAAGTATCTGCACTTCTCTCTCTCTCTTTCCTGCTCTTTTCCTTCATTACAGGTACTTTATTCACTTACTTTTCCTTCTCTTAGGTTCCAGACTTTCATTCCTGGTTGTTTATTCAGTTACTTTTGTTCTGCAGGTGGAACTTTGGTGATGGGAAATGGGCAGAAAAGTTGGTGCGTGGCCAAGCCGTCATCGGACCAGGCAACCTTGTTGGCCAACATTAATTTCGCGTGTTCTCAAGTGGATTGTCGGGTGATGCGAAAGGGTTGTCCTTGTTTCAGCCCTGATAATCTGATGAACCACGCCTCCATCGCCATGAATCTTTACTACCAATCCAAGGGAAGGAACAAGTGGAACTGTGATTTCAGAGGTTCTGGTCTTATTGTCATCACCAATCCAAGTATGCCAAACGATTTTAAACGATGCTCAACTTTGTTTCTTCAAATTTGTTAATGTGTTAAGATCTGTGTTGTTTTGGTTTGTTTGTGCAGGTTATGCCGACTGCATTTATGACTGAAAATGGGGTGCAGTTTAAGCAGTTTTATATGTGATTCCTTTTGGGAAAATAAGGAAAACTTGTAATTTAAATAATTTATTCAAACGTATGTATGTAACTAAGTAGAGATTATTATATTTGGGGAAAAATAAATTGATTTTGAAGTGTTCTTTATAAAAGAGAAAATAACCTCAGTGACTAAAAATCCCAGA